CCGACCCCCGGTATTTGTCATACATTATTGTTTATTAATCAATACATTTGTCGTATAAATATGTAATTTAATTTATATAAAGTTTGCACATGTATGCATTTGGCATAAATTAACCCATTATGCTAACATATTTTTCATAGCAATTTTGCTAAATTTTGATTTTGTTTTTGAATTTATTTTTGCTTTGTAATTATAATGCACAATAATTTATACTGTGTGTGAGTTGGGCACTACTTTTCATAATATTTTTTTAGCGACGTATAATTAAAACAATTTAATTTAATTTTGGTTAAAAGTAGTACACTTACAAATTTCAAAGAAATTAAGCATATTTACAAAAACACCTAATTTTCTATATTAAAAAATAATTTTAAGCTACACTGTGTCAATCTTTTTATATTATTAGTATAGTTTTGGTAATTTAATTAAATATTGTGCAAATAAATATTATTAATTTAACATAAACTTTAATATTGAATATATTTTTAAAAATAAAGTATTTGGGAATACTTTCTATGCATACTAGCAATGGTTAAATATTTCATTTATAAACGTTTTGCGTTATTTTTCGGATTTTCTTAATTATAACTAAATTTAATGAAACAAAATATTTGTTATTTATTGTATGAATTGTATGCATCAAAAGGCATACCATATAATAGTTTTGCCGCCTATTCATTGTCTAATTTATTCAAAGTATAAATTAGATATATTTGCATAAACTATACTCACTATTAATTATACTGTAATATACTTTCAGAATATTTCTACATTAACGGTACCTCAATTTAAACTTTTTAATTATATACAAAATGCAAATACATATAGACTCTTTAATATTAAATGAACTATTTTTACCTGAACAGTGAATGTTTTGAATTAAATTCAACATCATACTTATTTAAAGTGCATTGCAATGCTAACAATGTTAACAACAACTTCTTCATATTTACCACATTTAAGTTTACTTTTACACGAAACTTAGTGACCAATAATAAATAAATTTGCATTTAAATAAATAGTAGATTATAATGTTTTAATATAATTTAATTTAAAATATTAAGATCTATAACATTGTATATCATACTGTGATAAAATTGAATGAAAATATTATCAACAGCATTCATATAGTTTATAGAATAAATGATAATTTAAGCAAATTTGCATTAAAGTTCAATTTATATTTCCTATAACTTGTAATTATAAAATATTAGATAAAAATATGAAATTAATGAATAGCGACAGCAATTGGTTATGATTTATATGAATCAAAAGTAATGATATATAATATGATGTATTATAGGCTGACGTGGAGGAGAGAAGACAATCAGCCGCTAGAGTACGGCAATTGGCAACAGAATAAGAATCAGGGAATAGAGTCGGGTATGTGTTGTACACCATATGATGTTTGGTTGTAATGGCATTGATATGATTGTGTTTTGTTGTTCAGAGACCACATTAGAGGGGGAAAGACTGACCATTTATAAAGTGAGTCGACTTCATATGGGAGCCTATCTTTGTATCGCACAGAATGGTAGGCATTCAACACATATATACATCACTTTGTTATCATTTTTTATCTTATATAAGCCTTCAATTAATATTTGGTTTTGTCTTTTATCTGTCTGTTTATGTCAGGTGTCCCGCCGTCTGTCTCCAGACGTATTGTATTACAAGTTCACTGTAAGTGTAATTCACTTATTGTGTTCACTATAATGAGTGATAACCGATGTATTAAATCACTGTCCAGTCCTTTGTCTATAAAATCGCAATTTCCTATTATTTATGAGATTTATTGAATCGTATATTTATATACCATCGATGGATAACTAATAGTGTTTTTAATGAATCAAATGCTTTGAAGTAAATATATATTCTTGAGATGTGATTATGTTTAACATAACCAACAGTTCCGCCAATGATTTGGATTCCAAATCAATTAATCGGAGCTTCAATTGGAGGAGAAGTGACGTTAGATTGCAATACAGAAGCCTTTCCCTTATCATTGAATTATTGGACAAAAGACGATAATTATATGATTGTTTCGAGTGATAAGTTTAAGACATCTAATTCCGAGAAGACATATAAAGTACATATGAAGCTAACGATCAAAAACATAGAGTCAACTGATTTCGGTACCAAATTATCTCATTTCTCAATTATTTCTCAAAATCGCGTCTAATATCCAAAAATATTTGTCAATTTGAAGGCACATATCGGTGTTACGCCAAAAATAGTTTAGGATCCACACAGGGCTCCATCAGACTATATGGTAGGTTTACATCCATCAAAATAAATTCAATTTCATACACACACCTAATAATGAAATATTTTTATATATTATTATTTTTTTCAATTTTGGCAGAGATTCACTACTCGAGTCCTAAAGAACCCTCGACTGCAAGAATACAGAGTATGAATGGTATGTATTGTATGGAAAAAAGGTTTTCAATCAAACACTTGTTTTATAATAATATTATTAAAAATATTGAATTCTTTAATATTCTCTGCACGAAAAAATGTATGCATTAATGCACTCATAATATATTATTATAAACTAATAATAATGTGCACACAATTCATACAGTAATTATTAATTGTACTCCAATTCTGCTCTCTATATGCTATTTATAATTACGAAATCCTTTGCATTTGGATTATGTTTAAAAAGTTATACATTATTGTGAAGTATTTGTTTTTGTCCACTGTATTCATTAAATATAAAGTACTTACTTTACCTATACTTACATAATAGAAAATTGTGTACAGTATTACTAATGTTTTTGTATTATTAACTACATATGAAATTATTGATATTCATATAAAATTTTTATCATGATCAATATACGTATGTTTACTTAACAATTTATAATTGAATAATTATATATTTGGTAAGTGTGGTACATTATTTAGGTTTAACTGATTTATAAATTACAAAATTGATGATTTGTAATATTAAGACAATTGGAAATGATTTCTTATGAGTATTAATTAAACCTTAAGTAAACAGTATAAAAATCAGTCAATTGAATAATGCTTTAAACACATGTTTATATGGACTATAAATTGTTAGATCTTTAGGAATTGAAAGATGTTTTTTGTTTAAATAACAAAACACTGAGACATGAGTTGGGTATAAATTTAGTCAAACGTTTCATTTCAATGGAGAAATTTATTTTTATAAAACTTCTTTAATAAAAAGTCTTTATATAATCAGAAATATTTGTTTTTTTCAAATCATTCACAGAATATTTATGTTGTTATCAATATTACACAGCAATCGTTTTGTTTATATCAATAACTTATATCGTTATAATATTCAACAAATATATACTGTACAGTAGATCTGTTAACAATATATCTGGTATATAAAGTCAATAATATTGATTGAAATTCTATTAAAGAATTATAAGTTTAAATGTTTGCACCATTTCTATCAAATTTATATCAATCGATAGGGAATTCTTTCAATTAGATTATAAGCATTCCTTGAATTGTCTTTGTTTTTGACGAAGAATTTAATNCATTCCTTGAATTGTCTTTGTTTTTGACGAAGAATTTAATTGAATTTATTTTAATTTTACATTTAGATCAAGTCAAACACAAGAAGAACATCAAAACTAGTGGTAAACATATCATTATAAATAAGTTTAACCTCCTATATATAAAAGTTGTGTTTTGTTTTTTATTTCACATCTTTGTTTAACTTTAGATTAATTTATTTTTATCAACATTTTTATTAGTAGAAATATTTTTATTTCAATTAATTGCTATATACTGTACTTAAATATATTTACCTGTTATTCTGTATATTAAAATTTTAAAACATGTTTTAAATAAAAATTTTTAATTTAGATACTCTGGAGGGCGAAGAAGATTATTCAAACTCTTCCAATACTTCCAACTCAGGTATTATTATTTATATTTCTACCAATTATTAAAATATTTTAATTATTTGTATTATATTTTAGCATTTCTTCACACAATTCACTGCCAAAGTCTTCAAAATTTATTTACAATTTTATTAAATTTTGTTTATTTCCATAAATATATTAAAAGAATATTATTTTGAAGAAATTACGAGAAAAATATTTTATACAACTTTTTACAGAAGAATAGTTAAGACGAAGAATTCATCAGAAACTCATCACTGGATAAACAGAATTCAACTAAAAGTTCACTCAAATTGAAAAACACTTTACAAAGTGTTTACAAAATTTGACTCTAAAAACAAGTTCCGATAGATATTTAAATAGGATATCATTAAAGCATAACGTTGTTTGAATTGTTATTAACTTTAACTTAATATCAATCTCTATGTGTAAATATATTGGTATAAAAAATATGATACAAAGAAAGAATATACACATTATTTATTTGTAAAAAAGTTTGCGTGTATTTACAAAATTAGAGAATTTAGGCATTTATTATATAAGATATAAAATATAATCTTTTTATGATTGACTGGTGCTCTGAGTTTAGCATAAATACAGCAAAATATATAACACATAAAACTAACACATATTTAGCAATAAAATCTAATCCATTTTTTGAAAGATTTTTTTTGAAAGCAAAATAAATATTTTTTCCCTAAAAAGTGGTTTTAAAAGAGAGTCAAAATTGTGTCGACAATTGGTTTGAATTATGTATGAAAAATGAGACAACTTTTCTATAAATATATAAATTAATGGGATGTCCAAAACATTCAGTGATAGTTTACTCGTAAATATTTCACATTTTATTTATGAAAACAATTTTATACAATATTATAGATAATATTTTTACTAATAATTGGGCATTATTTTTGTTTGAATAATTTTATTAATTATACTGTAAATTGCTTATAATTTGATTTATGTGCCTAAAAATCATAGTAAAAGCATAGAATAACATCATATTTTCACTCAATTCTTATAGATCTTATTGTTTTTAAGCAATTTTAACCATTTTTATTGTAATTGTGGAAAATATAAAAATGCTTTTAATTATTATAATCTTAAAAGTATTTAAAAAATATATTCCATTAAAAATTTAGTGATTTATTAAATTATATTATTAAACGTTTTAATTTGATTAGTCATTTTGACCATTGTCTCACAACTTTAAATTATTATTGCGTTAATGTGTAAAATATGTGTAATATTAATGTATAAAAATGTATAAATTTTATGCATTTGTATATCTTTTATGATTTTAATATTTAATCAAGAATTTTGTTTTATTCAAAAATTTAAAAATCTAGATTTTGCTCTCTCTCT